AATTAATTAATTAATTATATATATATATATATATATATATATATATATATAAATAAATAATGTCCAGGTGCAGAAATATAATACAGCAGATAATTTTCAAGGTGTAATGTTCAATGAACAGCAGTTGGCATTTGTTCCAATAGCACACACACAGATCTTCACGACAAACTTGACTAATCTCAATTTCACCAATTTATACTGGTCAGCAAACATGCTAAAGTTTCAACCTAGTGGCCTTCATCAGAATGTGGTGGAAAATAGCCAATCACCTGCCAAATCATGTAGAAAACAACCTACACTGAGAAAGACGGAGTTAAATATTTTACGCACAGGGACCTTTTAAAGGCTGAAAATTATGCTCAGGTATCTACAGGTATCACAGCTACAGGTGCAGGACTTTACAGTGTTTGGTCATGGCTATAAAACGAGCAGAAGCTAGGGCAGTAACAACAATAGCAGAAAGCAGAAGATAAAGAGCAATGAAGCTCAATAATGAATCAGACAAGGTTGTCAAAATGAGAGTCTCCGCACTGCTTTGGGGTTTTCATGGGTGTCAGTTAGCCACGGATAGATGCTGTTTCAGCATGACATAACTCATCAAGATGAATGACGTGTTCAACTCAGAACCTCATCAACCTGGGTGTGGGACTAGGTATACACTTTAAAACGGGCTGAGAAGGACCCAAGAGCATCCAACTGCTTACGTCCAGTTCTTCAATAACTTTTATCTAATCTGGAAAAAACAAACTGTAGTCTGTGTAAGGAAAGAAAATCTGATGGCGGATGGGAATATTCTGTAGTCATCAAACTCTCAATGAAACCTGATATTCGCCTTTATTTGCTAACAGTCACAATCACTTCCTGTCTTTGCACAGATGCAGCAGATGGTCAACTCTGATTCCCGGTTCACCAGCAGCCAACAGCCAATCGAAGCAGCGCTTGGACCCAGGAGCCAGTCAGGCATGAGCCAGCCGAGTCAGTTGTCCACCATCAACCAATCCCAGCTGGGCCTAAGTGGGAACTCTGTTACCCATAATTCTCCCTCACCTCCTGGAAGTAAATCTGCCACACCATCTCCCTCCAGTTCAGCACATGAGGACGACAATGATGATGGACTCAGGGTAAAAAAAGGAAAACACACACACACACACACACACTGTATCTCATGTTTCTATCTATGAGTCACTGAGTTATATCTCGATGGGCTGTAGGAACCATTTGTGTTTTGCTGTGTGTTTATGTGTGTGTATACCTGTGTGATTGGTGTGTATGTGCAGTTAGTGGAGAGTTGTTATGTTAATGTTATGTGTCATAATAGACCCATTCTCCCTGCATATCAACTAGATGGAAATCAGCTCCCTCACTGTTAGCTGTCTCACACTGAAACAAGCACTCTGCACCAAACTGACTGTTCATATTCTGCAGAAATGAAACCATTACTGTACTGCTGAATAATATTTACCAACTTTATCATTCTCATTGGTTATGCATAGAAGAATGATATGTGGATAGGAAATATTATAAGCAAGTATACAGCTAATGCTTATAATAGACCATGCTTACACGTTTATAATACATTGTTCACATGTAAATATTGGCTGCTTTTGCAAATTAACACAACATATTAATATTAGCTGTAACCACTTATAGCTTTTATTAATTATAGGGAAATTATCTATTCAGCAAGGCAGGTTTATTTGAATAGCACCTTTCAAACATGAGCAATTTTACAAATGCACAAAGAGCAACAATTAAGAACACTATGAAGATGTAAATCTTATATAATATAAATAATAAAATAAAATGAAGTACATATTATTTCATATAATATGATACGCTCTTAGTTGGACAGCTTTTTCTACAATTTAAACCTGGCTTTAAAAATGTGTTTCGAGAATAAAATGACATAATCTACTTTATGTATTTCAGATATACAAATACAAGCTCAGAAAATATTGTGTTACCATTGATTAGATATTGAAATACATTTAATTGAAATGCTGCCTCTCTGACTGTATACACAGACAAAATAAAAATGTTGGTAACTCTTTGTTTTAAATATCTACTATTTCCTTATAATTTAAAGTTTCCTATTAGGAACAATGCAGGGAAAATGGAGAGGCTAGGTTCTCCACAGCATCCTTTTGGATGGTTTTGCTTTCTTCTGTATCTTCAAAATCTCTGGCCGAGATGATCGTCTGTTCCTCAGTGAGTCTACGTGTACCTGAGCTGGTTGTGTAATTGCAAACAAAGCCGAAAGCCCAGCCTTATTGATACTGCTTGTCAAGTACCTTCTGTAAAAACCAAGCCAACACAATTTATATTTTCTTCCCCCGATGGCAATGAGTGTGATGACACTTGTGTTGCTCTTGTATTATGCAAGTCAAAGCCTGTTTGGCTTAGTTTTCATCCGAATACACAAAGTCCATACAGACAGAGAGGCAAGTGGAAAGCCTTGTGCCTTCCAGCTTGCCATACACTTGCGGGCTGTAATATGACGAGCACTTTTTGCAAAATAGGAAAAACAATTGCTTTCACAAAACATCAGAAGCACTTGGAGGAGCTGAAAGACCTAAGTCACTTAACAACAAATCTTGAGGATTTGTTGCTTGTAGCCAGACATCACACACTCATTGTGTATGGTCATAAGAGGACTAGAAAGGGATCAGTGTACCAATCTGGAAGCCGTCACAAAAAGAACAGTGCTTTGGAGTCCTGTGGGAAAAGGCTGCAGACTCAGTCAGTCTCTGAACAGTCTCCCAGCTTTTGTTGCTGAAACCGGGTGGCAACAATTAGGAAGTTAAAAAAAAATCTTCATTGCAGAACCATTCCAACGTCTTTAGGGTGGCCGCTATAGGGAAATGACATGGGGGTGACATGCAGAAGTTGTGTGCCTGTAAACACTATCATACCAGCAAAATGTGCATTATAAGATGGCTTTGTTGCAGTCATTGAAGAAAACAAAGTTTGTTGATGTTTGTTGCGTTTTGCAGACAAAATTGTTTGTAGTTACATTGGGAGACAGACTACCCAAAGCGGTATATGGGAGTAGTCATACCCTTTTGCGACGTCATGGATATGGATAATATGGAATCAAATAATCTATCTTGGCTCAATACATTAATTTTCAATGTTCTAGCTCTATTTGTGTTACAAAGTTATTTTCTATCACTTTAGAAGGGAATGTGGGGAGGCGTGTCCTTAAAGTAAGGGGCATAGTTTGTTAGTTTGCTGTAAAATCATTTTGTACAACCATCCATTTCAAAAACTAGACATGGTAAAGTTATGAAAAACATGTTTGTGCTTTGTTCTACCTCTGGTAGGCTTGTCTCAACTTGTAGGGGCTATGTATTTATCATTTATCGTTATTGGAAACTTTATTCTTCATATTTATTGATCCATATGCTTGTCTCTTAACAAATTTCACATTTCTGCTTGGTCAGCTAAACTGCTGTGCACTGACTAAAAGCCAGCATTTAATTGGAATTTATTAATTGCTAATTAGGTGCACCAGTTGAACCCTGTCTCTATTTTATTAGTAATTAGTGCCAAATTACATGGTTCGTTCAGGAAAACATCCTGTGAAATTATTAGGTGCGTGTGTGTGTAGTCTTGATGATTCTTAAGCACTCATCTGAGAGGCTCTAACCGTTCTGACTAGTGGGGAGTTTCCCATATTTGCTCTCTGTGGTTGATTTATAGCTTGACAGAACGGTTGAGGTCACATGTCATGTAAGAGACAGAGGTGTGACGTGTGAATTGTTAAGATGCCAGGTTAACAGTAATATTTAAAAAACATTATGATGTAGTCAATTTTAGTACACAAAATTCACACGACCAAATATGTTATTTTCATACCACTGTTTTAGTTTTTGCTACTGAAATAAAATCCCTCAATCCCCCTGTCCATCCATCCATTTGCCTCGCTGTGTCCTACTCAACCTCCTTCTTCTCCTCTCAGCTGGGCAGTGGAGGAGAGAAGAGGCCAGCAACAGTGGATATCTCCAAGAAACCCAAAACACCAAAGAAGAAGAAGCGAAAGGACCCTAATGAGCCAGTGAAGCCAGTGTCTGCCTATGCCTTGTTCTTCAGGGACACCCAAGCCAACATCAAAGCCCAGAACCCCAATGCTACCTTCGGGGAAGTGTCAAAGATCGTGGCCTCCATGTGGGACGGTCTGGGAGAGGAACAGAAACAGGTACATCCTCCATTTTTGAAATATCTCAGCAACTATTGAATGGATTGCAATGAAATTTGGTATATATATTTATGTTCCCCACAATGAGAATTGTAATCGCTTTGGAGATCTCTTGAATTGAATTCATCTAGCAGCACCATTAGGTCAAATTTCCTTACTTTGTGGTTCTTTTTTAGCGATTTGTGTCTAAATTCCTAAACCTGTTATTATATTCCCATCAGCCTCAGCTGTACTTTGTGTCCAGTTCAAAGTAGCTCATGTTAGCATGCTAACCAGGGCTGTGCATTTGCAAGAATTTGGCAATACACTACGCATCACGATACAGGGTTACGATTTAGTATATTGCAAGACTGTAAGCAAGGTGTTATATGCATATGCAATTTTTTAAAATCTAACCACCATATGCATAAAATCTGAGCAAAAAACATGCTGTGAGACTCCCTGGTAGCTCACCTGGTATAGGTATCGATACAGTGTTTTTGAGAATTTATACAACTTCACAAAACAAAATATTGCAATTTTCTGAAGATTTCTTACACCCTTAATGCTAACCAGCTAAACTAAGATGGTAAACATTATACCTGCTAAACATCAGCATGTTATCATTGTCACTGAGGCCACGCTAGTATTCTGAGCTTAGCATTTAGCTCAAAGCTCCCTGTGCCTTAGTACAGCCTCACAAAGAAGCCAGCATGGCTGTAGACTCTTCATCTTGTTTCTGAGTTTTGGCAATGGCAGATGGTAAAAGAAAGCCCAGCGGATAGAAATAGCATGCCTATCCTTGTCAGTAAAACTCAGAAGCGTGAGAGGGACAGTGAGTAGCTCCATCATCTGACAGGAATCAACAGTTTTGCAGGGAAAAATCAGCTCTAACGATACCACTGAGACCACAAATCATTACTGAGCTCACAAAGTTGCTACAAATGGCATGTCAACTGAATTTAACAAAGTTCACATTCAGAGTTTCTAATAGCCGCCTTGGGAATTCATTATTGTTGTTATGTGTTATTAATTAACTGTGTCAGCTGAGGGAAAGCCCCGTGATGGTTACACCTGAGTATGATTTAATGCAGCCAAAATCTGACTCATGTCTCACAGCACTTTGTTGATAATTCTCAGCTTTGATAAAAACTGTTACTAATTAGGCACTGCTAATTAAATGGATTTGTAGGAACTGTATTTTCATATGCTGTAAACAGTAATGAAAGTTGATAGTCAGTAGTAAAGAGAAGTAAAATGTTTGTGTTTCAGTTGTACAAGAAGAGGACAGAGACGGCTAAGAAGGAGTATCTGAAACAACTGGCTGCCTACAGGGCCAGCCTCGTCTCACAGGTGCACTCTCTCGCTCTCTCACACACACACACACACACACACACACGTATTTAACTGATGCTTTAAAGGAGTGAACAGTTTAGTGTGAAACCTGTAAACTGACTTTCTGTTTTACCTTTTCCTGTTCTCCAGAGCTACAATGATCCATCTGAAATGAAGCCGCCCCACTCTTCCTCCACGTCTTCCTCCTCTTCTACCTCAATGTTTACACCCAAACCTTCAGTCTACCCCGGTCACCCAGGCCAGCACCCAGGCCAG